AGCACATATTCTACTCGCTCAGTATGAGGATGCTAGTGTTGACAGAGACACAAGCTTTTTGCATTGCCTTTAGCACCAGGAGTGCAAAGACCACAACATCTTTGACTTCTGCTCTAACCTATTGAATTAAGACAAGTCTCTCCTTAGGACTGGAGAAAGGAAACATAACACTGAAATGTAAAGGCAGGTTTTGATGGTGACAGCTTTGACGGATGCTTTTCAGAAGAGGGTTGCCTCCTTTTATTGCAGCCTGATGCTGAAAACTGTTAGTTAGATACTATGCAGCTGGAATTTTTAAAATCTCTACTACAGAGTTTCACACACCCTGCCTAAGTATCTCCAGTCCAAAAGGTCTGAAAGCCTCTCAGTTCGGTTTCTTTGGATGATCCTCTGGCGACGGGACTGCTGGCAAAATCCATACAGGATCTGAGTCAACTGGTTGCATGACTCATCAGGAGAGCGGAACCTCCTGTCAACTATGTAAATGCCTGAAGGACACAAAAAAAAAGAGAATATGAGTGGAACTGAAAATTGGATCTGATCTCCTACATTTCTAATCCAGCTTCTGTCGCACAGAGTCTTACAAACATTTTATATATTGGATGTCTTTTTTAATGTGAGAAGTCAGAGTGGCAGCTATAACTGGAAAAGGTGATTCTGTTCTGATGGTATGGGAAGCTGTAGACAAATATCTATTTTTTGTATTTTAACTTCCTTTAGCTTTCTAGCTGAAATTCACCATATTATTCATAACTCAGAGGCTTTGCTGCTGTTGTTGCTTAAGGTTGTCCAAAAATATTCAAGAATTTATGGATAAAGAGGTATCAGTTTTATTCTCCATCATTTTAAAAATACTTATTGCATAAAAAAAAAAGTCTCATGCTTCATAGTTTGTGGCAGAATTTAGAAGTGTGGTCAGTCAGAACAAGCCAGTAGGACAGAGACTGTTTTCAGTACAAATACAAATATCTTCCATAGAGATGGCTAACTCACGTACATCAATTGATGTAAAAATCTGGCAGAGAGAGGGTCAAGGTAAAATTTGTCTCTGTGTAGCTTTCCAAGGTCAATTCTTGCCTACTCCTTGCCATCAGGGTGTTGGGAAGAAGAGGGGAATAGGCCTCAGCTATCTTAACGGACAAGGCAGACTCCCATCTACCTTGACCGAAGTGCCTCGTCTCTGCTAGGATTGTACAGTGAGTTATTTCAGTGCCCACATCTACGTTTTCACAGAGAAGAGCAAGAGACACATGCTCTTGGCTTGTGACCTTTCTGAAGGCTCTCATAGACATGTCTAGCCAGGTTGGTGCAGATATAATCAGCAGCTGGCTTTATGCCTGCAACAAGCTTAGGATGCAGGTGGTGTTAGCATGAAGCTGATTGTGCAGACCAGCCAAGGTATTTAGAAAGAGGCCCTAGTTCTGGCACATTTTCACTATTGTCATGATACACCAGGAGCTGCCTACCCTCTTCCTCCTTACCACACCCTGATCATGGACCATTTCTAAAGCTTTAGGAGCAGATTCTTATTTGTAAGTAAGCTCCTTTTATCATCAC